AACCGTCTTGTACACGCGTCGCCCATCTGATTCATTCTGCCATGCACACTTGAAGATTTCCCGCCTAGGCCACGTGGAACCAAATAACAGCGTCCACGTGCAACCCAAATGCATTCAAAACCTTAACCGTTCCCGCCAACAGTTTGAACGTCGCGCCAACACTCGCGCGCCCAACAAGCCGCATCGGCAACCCGCATAGCTTAGAGTTAATCCTGCCCAACATAGTGCAAAGGCGCCGTACCGCCTTGCTACCTTGCCCGCACGTCTTTGCTTGGCCATGCACAACCCGCAAAGACTTGACTGATCCCATATTCAGTCTACATTGACCCGGCCCTGCAACCCAGCATCCTCGCTAAGCTAGCCCGAAGCCTTTACCATGTCAATGTACTTGTTCCCTTATCCGACACCGTGCACAAGTGCCCGGTTTCTTGACCCTTGGCACATATAAGGGACTGCGCCCGGGTCCAGCTCAAGCTTAAGTCCGTAACACTAGCTCTTGCTCAAGCTTAAGCCAATCCCACCGTCACTAAAGATGCACCCAATCCGGCCTTGGATATTATTGTTGCATAGTGGTGGTAGGATTTGGTGCATCATAGTCAACCATTTCTTTGCTTTGTTAATTAAGTCAATTGTGCCAAGTATGTTGCTATACACAACATCTCCGGATTGGTTCCATGTACGACCAATGTGCTAATGTATCTTCATGCATGGATTTATTTATATATATTTATATATATCCACTTCCACATGTATATTTACGATTGTATATACCTACATGCTGCACATAAACTACACGAAAATAAAAATAAAAAATAAAAAAAACTACACGATAGACTCCATTTTGTATTATACCCGCAACTTACTACAACACCGTCTTTTCTCCAAATATACAAAACTACATCATGTATCATCATCTATCCATGATAATCTACCTAATCCTTAATAGAACATCAGCTCGCGAAAATCCTCGACTTCTTCTTGCTCCAACATTCATTATCAGGAATACATAAAGACATCACCTACCACTCCATGGAAAGTACCTTCTTCAGAACTCTACAAGGTCTACGTTTCTCTGTGACCGGAATTATGTTCTTCATAAGCTGCATATTTAAAAAAAGAAATGGTAAGAAAATGGAAATGCCATGGGCAAGCCAAAAAGAGTGAACTTTTGAATGCATGGAAATTGCATTTATGCGACCACACTTGGTTTTCAAGGATACAGATTTAGTGTTAAAATTACAATTTCTATGTAACGAAGAAGTTTGTTTGGTAGAAATTCAGTGACTTGTTTTGTGCCAAAGGCCTAGAACACATTTTGTATACCTGTCTCTTTGATTGAACAGGCACATCAATACGCAGGTATAACTTACGCTGTTTTTGAAAAATATTCAAATACGACATTTCCTTGTAAAATTACACATTATGGGACAGGTATTACATAAAATTGTAGGAACCACAATCGTTATCAACTTAATATATGAGAATTTATTTCGGTTCGGTTAGTTATATATTGTGTCGGGAACTGGTTTGGAACCATATCGTGCAGTTTGGTAATTTCGGTTTTATGGTAAACCTCGAAGGAATAGAAACCGATTCTAACTTATTTGTGTAGAGGGAACTGGTCACTGAACAAGATGTTATACTAATTACGGCTGACTGCATATACTCCTTTCACTTTTCACCAAACAATCACAACACAATTAACTAAATCAAGAATATAAAGATAGAAATCATGTTATCACACCAAGGACACTTCAAAAAGTCAAGATTATATGACACCATCTACAAAGAAAAAACCTTTGTATTTTCGATTGCGACATAAAAAATGTATGATGCAATTTTGTTTAATTGTTATTTGGTATAAAATAAAAAATAAAAATTATCTTCAGGCTGTATATTCGATTTGAGTAGATTGGGCCATGTGATGATGGGTAAAGGTTGGGATGTATTTGTCTAACATTTCCGGTTCTTCAGTTATGGAAAAGATGTTTAAAAATAACTGAGTACCGGAACCAATCACAGAACCATCATTGAGCTTAAATAACCGAACCAAGAAACCCAATAAGTTCAGTGATACTATTAACCAAACTGAGCTGGCTTATTTTGGTTCAGCTTGGTTTCCCGGTTTCAAAATCCCACACCAAGTACGCACTTTGTTATATGACTTTGAGGTTAAAATTGGGCGTTAAAATTAACCTAACTGTTTGTTATGTTTTTGTGCTTATTTTCATGTGTTTATTTGTGTTATTGAGTCGGTTTTAGGTTCGTTTTAGGTTCAACCGGTCCATTTTGGCGTTTATCGTCTGTTTTTATGTTTTATTGTTTGTTTCATATTTTGGCGTACTTTTCCCGTACTTTTGCTATGAATTTCAGGTTTAGTCCGGGATAGAGATGAAGAGTCGAGCCAGAGAGAGTCGAGTCACGTTCCGAGCAATGAGCATTTCCCGTAAGAGTCGAGTTTCCGAGTAGTTTCAAGCCATTTCATGCGAGTATGTTCAAACCAAGAAGTCGAAACTCG